AGGAAGCATTTAAAGGCACCTTTTATGTTTCCTCAGTTTTCTCTCTCGCCCAGCACAAAAGTATCACTATTTGTTATTTTCTGGCACTTAACCATATTTTCTTGAAGCAGCTCTCATCATCTAGTAGCATAGCTTCCCAGAGCATGCTTTACCTACCCATAAGATTATGTGACATTTCAAACTTAACTGAGAGCATGTAAGTGACTCCATGGTCCTAATACTGCAGGCACATTAGATTTTAGCTCACCATCATTGCAACTGTCCATAATTCTATTAGCTAGAGCTTTTCCCATTGCTACAGAGGAATCACACTCATGGTAAGTACATTACAGCAATGGGTAGCTCATCTCTTCTCCAAAAGCACCTATTACACACCCACTTCACACATTATGTCCAGCATGACATGCACGAGCAGGTACTGAGGAATCAGGACTGACACATTCCTGCCTCTTTTCAGAGGAGGAAGTCCTGTTTCCCTTACAGGAAGCCTACAGCAAGGACACACAAATTTTTCAGGGAACCTGCAGAAACCTGATGACACACAAGTAACTTAGCTTTTTTTTTTTCACCACTTATGTATAAAACAAAGTCCCAAGATTGCCTACCACAACGAACATTAGAAAATCATATGAACGTGTTTGCTAAAGGTGCAAAGCAGGATAAAGGAAGTAGACTGCTTGGAAAAAAATAAACTAGTCAAGCAAACAAAAAAAAACCCCAAACCACCAGTTTGCATAGCCTGAGCCATGATTTCTGAACAACTGATGCTAGCATAATCACAAAAATTGAAGTGACAATACACAGTATTACAAAACCACAGTTCCTAACTAAAAGCATTCACTGGCCTAAGAGGCTTAAAGCCAGCAACACAAAAGCATCTCAAGTTAAATTCTGTGCTTCTGTGTGAAAGTAACGAGAAATAGCAGGTGGATCCCACTGAAAAAGAGATTATTTTCTCACACACCTTGAAACTAGCTTCTCACCAACCAGTTATTGTGTTTCAGGTTTGCATATGAGCAAGCGGGTGGCATTCATACCTCTGCTATTCACACCCTTATTACCTCAGCCAGGGCTCCTCAACCCCTGCTGTGGTCGGCTTCCCTGCCTCCCCTGGGTAGGGAACAACACGTGCAAGTGAGCCAGTAAGCATGTGATATACTCACAATTTTGCTCATGCTTGTGAGAGCAGGGGAAAGGAGAAATGCTCCTGACTCATGCCACAGGCACAGAGAGCTGGGTGGGAGATCTGGTTCCTGCATCCAGCTCTTACCGTACTGACTTCCTCTGCCCCTGCGCTCGTTCAGCA